CTTTAGGAACTATTTTCTTTCTATTGTCTACATCCAGTAGAAAGAAAATAAGCAAATAGACATGTATTTTTTATTTTTTTTTGAGTAATCAAGTCCTGATTTCTGAAATGTAAAACCTAAAGAGCCAAAGGAAGAATATGTAAATCTAATTTTGTGATAAACTGTCTCTTACACTTCAACTGAAATCTGATTTAGAAAGTAAACTTTAGTCTCTAAAGTCTCTTTCACTCAATGTCTAACTGTGGTATCTGTGTGCAGGTCCAGGATGCGACGGGAGGTGCTGATGGAGGGTCTGCCAGACAATGACACGGATGCTGAGCACCACAGCTACTCCCCCTCAGTGACACGGAGCCCTCACTCTGACGGAGAGGAGAGGAGGCTGCAGCAGCCCTCAGGACACATCCATTCCAGCCTTCCTCTTAGTGCCAACACCTCACTGCCTCATGTCAAACAGGAGGCATTAGACAGGGAAGACGACACAGAGGAGGGAAGGGAAAGCTCGGCGAAACAGTCCAGGGTTCAGTGTTTTCCAACAGCCGTGCCGCTGCCGCAGTTGAAAAGTGAGCACGAGGACTCCGTCGCGGGCTGTCGCGAGCCCCACTTGGCAGGCCAGAGCCTGAGGCAGGAAGAAGGTCAGGGTCTCTACCCTGGAGGGCTCTCCGTAGACGGCCCACAGAGAAGCAATCAGACCAGGCACGAGGGGGAAGACTCCGGAAAGTCACCCGTCGACCCGGTCAGTTTCAAGGCTTCGTCAGAGCCCTGCCGCAGCAGCCTGGAGGTCTCCCTCAACTCGCCCTCTGCTGCATCCTCACCGGGCCTCATGATGTCAGTCTCGCCCGTTCCCTCCTCCTCTGCGCCCATATCGCCCTCGCTGCCCAACCCTCCATCGACGAGCACCAGTCACAGCCTGGACCCTAACCCGCCCCCTCCCTTCCAAAGTCCCAAACTCAACAGGAGCACTCAGAGACGCACGGAGAAAATGGCCAACCTCAATAACATCATCCACAGGTTAGAGAGAGCAGCCAATCGAGAAGAGACTCTGGAATGGGAGTTTTAAGTCCACTTTAGGTGTATCCAAACCTTTGCGCCACACAGGAGAGTCTCAGAAGCTTCCTGACGTCTTTAAATGGAGCGTGGCTCCTGAAGGCCTGTCCTCCAAGAATGATAACTCACAGGAAATGGGAACACGGAGCTAATCATACGGTTGAATTCCCTACAAGAACTTGAGAGTTGAAAAAAAATTTATAAACGTGTATTAGTTCGTTTGTTTTTTTTCCTTTTGATAATGCATACTACTTTGAAATATATGTGACAGCACTAGCTGTCATTTTACCTATTGGACTTGACATGAAGACTTTTGCAGCTATGGTGTCATCAAATGTACACTGAAGTTCTGTAGATTGCCACTGGGTGAGATTAAAAGAAGACCCCTGTCTTAAGCCATTAAAAGCACTAGAACTATTTGAAAAGAGACACTGACCAAATTTGCTACTTTTTGAATAGCAATTTTTCAGATTTTGTCTGTAAGACTGGACAGTTTAAGTCAAGTAACATGAAATCCTATTACTGACTGAGGGATAGTCCTTTAAGACTCTAAATATTCAACATCTTGTATGTACTTAGTTTCCTGGTGATATGTTTTGAAATATTTGTAACTCACTCGTATAAAATGTGGTTGTACATGTTGTAGAATTGTCTGCAATAGCCTTCTCTAAACCTGATGTAGCATGGTACTCACCTGACCCTGTTTATCCTCTGTAGTTAGTCACCTGTGATTATACTTGAGCGAAAACACGAGAAAAAAAGAAAAAAGTTGAAAACCCTGCAAAAAATGCGAAAAAAAAAAGGAAATGTTAAACCTAATGAGTAGAGTACTTTTGAAGTGTTTTTGGTTTCTTTAGTTTGCTTTGAATAATCCTCGAGGTTTACAGTTTAGGGCCCTTGTGCTTTTGGTAGTGAGTGCAACAGTCACTTCGCACGAGCACAGTTTACACGATTTCTTTCAGACTTACCTCTCTGACTCTCTAAGGCACTGGTTCTCAGACTGTAACGGGCCAAGACACAGGACACCCAGTTTACCTCAGATTATGTTGATGCACATCATGCGACGACCATGCGTTCCATTCTTTTGCATAAACATGACGCACACTTGTTTGGACCGAGGGAGGGAAGGCGCTGGCGTATCATGCTTCGGGTGCGAGCTCACGCCTCAGAGGGTCAAACAATGAAGCGAGTGGTGGTGGTGATTGGGGGGCTGGGGGGTTATGAGACAAATCTGCTGCTGTTCGTCCCTTTGTATGTGTTATGGAGTAACACCTGATTGATTGCACATTCTGAAAATGTGCATTTTACTGTAAATTATACGGATCAAAACACCTCAAGCACTGAGATGCTGTTTAGCTATGCCACCCCTGCTCTGTGTTGATCTACTTTGAGGCTGAAGTTCCCAGTGTTTAAAAGCATGATACGTACAGTGTGACCTCTCATCAGTCTGTAAGTACGCTATATTCAAGAACACAAAAGGTTACAGGTATCCCCTCATATTATCTTTGACCACGTGTGTATTGTGTCTGTAGACGTTTCTTTGTCATGCTTGCAAGATGTTCTTTATGTATTTTGCCTCTATTTTATACTCAGAACAGTTAACTAGATATTCAATACCTCGTGTATGAAGTACTTACAGCACTTAGATTTTTTTGATAATTGTGAGGACTCAAGAAAAATCTCAAATATCAACATTATCCTAACTTAGTGTCCACAAGTCTTTGCCTTTACTGTATCGTTGAAGTTGGTAGTGAACACTTGCACATGTCTACATAGTTCAGAGGACTTGGATTGTATTATGTAGAGATATATATTACACAATTACTAAAAAAAAAATACTATCTTACATTCTTGGAACAAAAATGTGCTGATTATATTGAAATAGAGTGTACAGATTTAATAAACCAAACCCATTCAAGCCAGTTCTGGTCTGGCAAGCTTGCCCACGTTTTAGACCTTCTCTCAGGGTAGTCTTGCTTTTTAAAGCTTTATTGAAACAGTTGCTCTCATCAGTGGTGTTGAATATGAAAACTATGTGATGTGGAGAATGACTCCGTTAAATATTCGACGAACATGTGAAAGTTGTATGATTACGGGATTTTCGACACTCACACGGAGGGGAAAAAAAGCGGATTGTTAGAAAGTCGTGGCTGTTTTGTAATTCCTTACATGGATGTGTCAAAGTACAGTGTCGAGCAGAACCACCGGGATGAGGCTAAATGGGTTGCATTTTTTAGATCAGTAGACTTTGCTCTTGGAAATACTGTTTTTTTTTTTTGTTTGTTTTGTTTTGTTTTTGTTTTGTTTTTGTTTTTTTTCTTGGAGCCACAGAAGATTTCTCTCTGGTTTTCTTACCATCATATTTTGTGCATAATATACTGTATGATTAGAAGTGGCATTTCTTATGTGAAAGCTTCATTGTTTCTCAAGGTAACATGGACATATGACTGAAAATGAAATGTATTTACCCAGACCATTATCTCTTCATGTAAAGCTCATCTCATTGTTTTGCATGCAAATCCATTCTGCTCACACAACAAGGGATAGACTGTTTTTGTGTTATTGTTCTTGCACAGGGACATTGAATCAGCACTTGAAGTCTTTTTGCATTAGGGAAGTCCACACATGGTGCAGCTGAGAAATTTGGCTCTCACAAACTTGTCAAGATTATGGTCAAATCAGAACCTGAGACTGGCCCTACAAACGTTATACTTCCAGATTTATTTTGTGCCATATCACCTGCCCCATGCATTATCCTCATGGAGAAATGCCTTGTGGTGAAGTCTGATCTGAGAGCGGTGTAGGGCTTTTTGTAAGTACAGAAAAAAGCAAAGCTTTTTCTATATCACAATAGCCCTGCACAGTAGATGTTTTAATTTTATAACTGACTTCAGTCACTAAATAATGGAGAAACTGATTGATTGGCAAAACTTGAATAAAAGCATTAAGATTTGCTTATATATAAAAAAAAAAAAATCTGGCACTGAGGGTTTGTCACCAAGGGAAGTTGTCATTTATAAGTCAGCTGTGGGCCAATGGAAAGAAGCATCCTTCAGGCTTAGATAACTGTCTGATGCCTCACGCCAGGCAATTAAATGTTAAAGAATGGACAATGATATGCCAAGCATCTTGGAAATGAAATTGCATAGGCTGTGTAAGCCATCAGTCAATACATAATTGTTTAAGATCCTGCTGTGTTGTGTTTTTATTTATTTTCTTATTTTATAATGAGCAATGAGCGCTCCACACATTAACATACAAAAGTTACTGCAAATTAATGTGCATATATAAAACCTTACACTGTAGCGTGCGTCCCTAACTAAGTGTAATCATTTTCACATCGCACTCTTCTCTTTCAGTGAAGGAAACACTTCATCTTTCCTATTGAATTCAGGGTCATTCATGTCCACTACATTAAGCATACAATGATACTTGGGCAATTGTGGATCTTATAAATATGACAATAAACACCACTGGATTTTCAAAGAAAAGCCAGTCAAACAAAGTAGACTGAATGTTTATTTATTTAGGAAAATGACTCACTATTGCATTCATTAATATGAACTTCTAGGAATAAAAATAATGCTTTTGGATTTCACTGATGACTAAATGTCATTGAGTTCAAACATCTGACTTCTAATTTCATTCACCAATCAGATATATAACTACATATTTTACTTTAGTGTGTAAAATTAGCATATATAATATAGTGTCCCATTTGTTTAATTAGATGTTCTCTATCTGCTTATAAGACGTTTGAAAATCGATGATACTTGAGATCGCCTTTCTACCTAAATACAAAAAAGGAAAAAAAAACGTTTTAAACCTGATAATATTAATTTATCAGGCATCCCACTTGCCAGTGTTTACATTACTTACCGTGTGGCTGAGCCCCTCCCCTTTTCCAGAGAACCGCTCTGACGCGATGACGTCACTCACACGTAGGGCTCTTTAGACGGGAGAGTTCGCGGCGATGGCGACGACGGCTCGGTGTTGGAAAGGGACGCAGTGAAGCTGGCCTCGGCTCTGGTATGATTCATGTTCATTTTGGACACGTTGTTTTAATGTTTGGTAATTGCACAAGTTCCGGATGAGTCTTTGTCGTCTAACACCTCAGCACTCGTTTGACTGGTGAGTCCGCCGGTTGTAGTCGTTGCTCGGTGTGTTTTGACAGAGGCCTCCGCTCTGGGGTCCGCCCTCCATCTCATAACAACAAAAACAGTTGCAGAAAGCAGCTTCAGCCTAACCAGCTAGTGCTAGCTAGCAGATCTACGCGCTGCTCTGTGTCACGGCTTTTAATGCCAAACGTCGAGTGTTAAGAGACCGCTGCATAACAGTTCACTGTCTGCCAGCAAATGTTAATTTCCACTGTTTGCATGTAAATAGCTCTTCGACTGAGCGTTAGCTCGCTAGCATTATTTTACGCTGTCGAGTGGTTGTTGATGAACACTGGTTAGCCAACAGTTTACATTACATAGCTGCAGAAAAACTAGCTAACCACTATTCAAAAATAAAAAGAAAAAAACGAAAGAGGAGTTACTTGACTTAACAATCTGTTAGTACAAGAAACGTTAGCTATTTTATTTTTCCCCTTGCAAACGGCTTTTCGTCAACTAGCAACGTGTTAATGTAACGTTGCAGAGCACTTGCGAGAAGCATTTGTTTTTGGGTTGACCGTAGCTTATTTTTTTTAGTGGCCAAAACTACCGGTATCTTTACATCGAATACTAACTAGTTGAAATAACATTAACTGGTGATTAATTAAGTCTAGTTTACGTTTTAGTCACCGTAGTGAAGTAAAAGGTAACGACAAAGTGTTAAAATTGAGCTGGGAAATCCTTTTCCCCAAAATACGAAGTTAGCCGAGGCTTTTGCGTTTAAACACTGTTTAGCAGCGCTGTTCAGTATGGCTACCCGGCTGTAAACGCAAAGCTCCGCTGTCAAACGTGTTGGTTCATTGTCTCGTTTCTTGTTTTTTCCTTATATCATTTCGACGCTAGAGTGTCGATAATGTTACCACTTGTGAAAATGACTGGCCTGTCACGGGATAGGAGTAAGGTTAAGGCTCTAAGGGGCTTAGACTTTTCTGTGTGACTGCTGAACTGAGAGCCAGACTGAGCCGTAGCCACGGGTCACGAGCGGGCTGCAGTAAACAGAGCCGTGTGTTGGGCAGATATGCTTTATCAGGTAGCAGCAGCAGTAAAAGTTGGCCTCTACTCTCAGTGAAGTAATGACCTCGTTTGCCTCCTTCACAACTCTCTCAATGACCGGAGGTACTTTTGGCAGTACAGCGGGATATTTTGTCTTCTTTCTGTCTCCAGGCTGCTTAAATGTTCCTGAGAAGGTGTGTTGCTCTCCTGAGCTGCCCCTCCACTGACCCTCTTAGATCAAGTTTCAGTCTTTGCAAGCGTAGCTGACCTTTACAACTACTTGTGGGCCTGTTTGCTGAGAGATCCTAACAGGTTGCCTTTTGAAAAGTGATGTTAGAGGATATCGATAATGGAATGTAAGAAAAAGCTCTTTATAGATGGTTTACATGATCTGACCAACAAAGCTGCTGCTGCTTTTACTGTTTTTGAGAAGTTTCATTTCTTTTGCTCTTTCAAGGGCAACCTGGGTAGGAACTTGAAACCTGTCAGCCACTGGACAAGTCCTGCAAGGTCTTTGGCTCTGCTTGGCCAACCATTTGGGCAAATTACCAACCATTGTTGGGTAGTTGAACCACAAAGCACAATTCATTGAACACTAACATTTCTGATGTCTTTCACTACCCTTTAAGAACCTCAAAATGTGACTGTTCTTAAATATGTATTGTGCACATAATTGTTAATTTTTTATTTTTTTGAAGGTGAACATTAGCCGATCAGTTCACGTGCCTGAACCATGTCTTTATGCAAGCTAAACTGTAGGCTCGGAGAACCAGCTAGCTTATTTTCCAGTCTGCAGTACAGTTTTAAGTGGTATCTGGGCTCACATGCAAGCCACTGTGACCACCAGGGCATCTATATTTGCCAGTGAATCAAAAGAGCTTCTGTAGCTTGTGTGTCTCAGTACGGAGAAGCATTTTCTCATTATTCACTTTCATTTCCACAGATTTCCATGTCTTACTTGTGAGAGTTTCCACACAGGATCATCAGGTCTGCTTATCATCCATTCGTGATTGTTTGTGGTAAGTCTAAAAATCTGTGTTTTCACATTTTGTTCATTTTCTTCAATTTTAACCATGTAAATCCAACCATTGGATTTTCCCCCATACTGCCAGTTTTCTGACTGCCCAACATGTCATAGATGATCATCGTTTACAGTTACACATTGCATGGGAAAGGTATTTGTGCACCCAGGTGCTCATGTACAGCCTCAACATATTATGAGCCACTCCCTGGATCCTTCCTTTTTCTCTTCTGCTTCTACTACTGCTTCTTTTATATGTGTAAACTTAAAAATATGCTCACATGCTTTCTTTCTTTCTGCCCAACAGAAACACTTAAAATTTTTGTAGAAAATGCTACTAGTCTGTTCATGTCAGCAGAGAAATGAGAGGAAAGGAGGTTGGTCAGAGATGAGGCTGATATGCAGCAGAGATTTGTTCTGGAGTCAAACTGGGGATATTGTAGTTTGTGGTTGGTGTCTTAACCCCTCAACCACCCTGGTGGTGTCTACACAAACATGTATTTACATACAGGATTGGGCCAGGTTTGAAACCTTAAAAGTGGATTTCAGTGCATTTCTAGCACACCCACACCATCAAGAACCAGGGTTGTATGTGGGCAAAGGTGAGGGTTTCTGGTTTAAATAATTAAATGCATGTTGAACTGAATTGCAAACCTAATTGTGGATGCATTCACTTCTGGCGAAATGACAATGAAATTCTTACTACGGTTATTGGCCAACTAGTCAGACCAATTTGCTAATTTGTTTTTCCATAAATTCTATTTTTTTTTTTTTTTTTTTTTTACAATGGAGATCCACGGTCAGCATTCATAGTGAAATGCTTTGATAAAGTTGATTAGCCAATTGCGAGTTCATTTGGTTTTGTGCCAGTAGTTCTGACAATCATCTGTGATGCTGACAGGCTGAAGTAAACCCTAGATCAGGGGTCCCCAATCCCAGTCCACGAGGGCTGGTGTCCCTGCAGGTTTTAGATGTGTCCTTGATCCATCACAGCTGATTTAAATGAACAAATTACCTTCTCAACATGTCTTGAAGTTCTCCAGAGGCCTGGTAATGAACTAATCATGTGATTCAGGTGTGTTGACCCAGGGTGAGATCTAAAACCTGCAGGGACACCGGCCCTCGTGGACTGGGATTGGGGACCCCTGCCCTAGATCAATGTGTTGAAAGAGATGACTCTGTTCACTCTTATTTGAGGATGGGGGAGTTACCTTGCCTGTGTTACTGGTAATATGTACTACTCAGTTTGCAAGTGACAATGCATATCTATGAGAGATTCCTTGATAGTCCATCCTCCGTTTAGACATGTTGCATGCTGCAAGGGCAAAGCATCAGAGAGAGGAGGCAGATAAATCTACCAGAATTAAAGCTCTTGGTAGACTATAAAATTGGACACAATTTTAAAGCTTTGTCTCTGTGTAAAACAAAAAATGAGCATGGGTAGGAGGCGTCTTGGTTTTTTTTTCTTCTTCTTTTAATAAAACTTTTTTTTTTTTTTTAACCAGCAAATGATCTGACTATTACTGACAGTGTTATCAACTCCAGCGTTTTAACTCTTCTTTAAATGCATCTTTGCTGCCCGTGTGTGGGTTCAGCTCTTCAATAAACTACAACAGCCCCTCCGCCTCCCAAAACCCCCCCCAAAATCTTGTCCCAGGGAGTTCTCAAGTTTGTTCAGGTGGTGAATGGAGATTTACTGGACTAGGTTATGTTTAAAAATGTTTCTGATATCTATTGACCTGGGGTAGCCTGTGGATTGGAGAATTTCCATTAATAATTTGATTAATTCTTGGAAAGCCTGAGTTTAAAACATTACCAGCTATAACAAGATAACTTGATATTAAATGAGCCATTTTCTCCTGAAATTACTGGATTTTTTTTTTTAATTTAAAAAAGAAAAAAAAGACTTGTCTCTTTGTTTTTCTACAGACAGATCCAGGCCGGAGTTCCTTGTTGGGTGACCCACACTCCTTGACAGGGGCCATGGTAATGTATTATCATCCCAGGCATGCTTTTGATAATAACTGTTGTGTGGCCTCAGTACTGTCTCTATAATCGGAACTCTCAATTGATTTTTACCCTGAATCAGCACGGTTTACCAGGAGGCAGACATTTACGTCAGTGTCAGCAGTATCAAAGGTCCTCCAAGTTTGCCATCTATGCAGGAACACTTTCAGTTTCCACTGCAGAAATGAGTTGTTGCATTGCACTATGACATAACCTCTGGATCTGATGCATTGCCTTTTTTGAACCTGGCTTTTTTTTCTTCTGTTCTCATTTTTGGCATGCTGCTATGTTGTGCCTGTCCCTGTCTGGCCTAGGCATGGTGCTCTTCTAGCTGTGGGAACTATTCATATTAGCTCTGCTCGTGTTCAGACAAGATCTCGGAGGAAGTTCTTCCACTGTGTGATATCTATCATCTCTTTCAAACAAACTTAGATTGAAAACTGAGCAAAGAAAGACTAAAATCTGTTAATGGCCAAACAAGAATGCTACAGAGTCTGTTACTGTCAGCACAAGATCATTGTGTGCCTGTATAAGCATAAAATACAGTTAGTTTTGACCACAGCCACTACATTACAAAATATACGGCATGCATCTTCCAAACAGATTAGAAAGTAGTCAGACAAAAAAGGAATGTGTGTGTGTGTGAAGAGGAATGTCATAGTTAAAGTTGTTAGTACTAGTTAACTAGAAACATTAACAGACTGTTGCTCTGTAGGAGGAGGAGGGGCAGCAGAGCTTGGAGTGTATCCAGGCCAATCAGATCTTCCCCAAGAAGTCCCCCGTCCTGGAGGAGGAAAACATGCAGGTAAGAAAACCACTGCAACTAGCTGCTTGTTTTGTGCAGTATGAGGGCGAAAACAAACTCGGTGACAGTTGTGTAAATCTTTCCTAATCAGTTACACAACCCTGATGACATGCGGGACTTTTGCTTGCTTGCTTGCTTACCCTTTATGCTCAAGAGTTTTTGTTGAGGATTGAAGTGTTTCTTCAGAAACCTTTACCACCTCTTCAGAAACTCATTGTTGCCGAGTTGGACACTCTGACTCTTTCTGGTTACTTATTTTTCTTTTTGTTGCTTTGAGTCAGTTATTATTTTTTTTTTTTTAAATGGGCAAAATGTTGACACAACTTTCAAGTTGTCATATGACTCATGACTTTTCCCACTATATTTGTGTCTGTGATCTGTGTAGCTCTGCAGTATATTTGAAATGTTTTCTCTCCTGCTGTTGTCAGGTGCCCTTTCCTGAGCTGCACGGGGAGTTCACAGAATATGTGGGGAGAGCAAAGGATGCCATTATTGCAATGTCCAACTACCGCTTGCACATAAAGTTCAAAGAGTCAGTTGTCAATGTAAGTATCTCTAAGTGACAAGTGCGCTTCAGTGTTGTAGCTTCAGAGAGAAAATCTTTCACGTGGCACAAAATCAGTGCAAAATGAACCACATTGTCTCCGTTGGAGGCTGTATCAGTATGTCTGTATTTTGTGAATGGACAGAGCTAGGGCCAGCACTGTGGTGACCAGGCCATTCAGAGCTGCTCTCCACTGGCAGCAGTGCCATGTGACTCTTCATCACCTCTCTTTCTACACTCGTCTGCTCGCTTTGGCTTCTTTCTGGAACTTCCCGTTGCCATGGATGCAGTTGGCCCACAGGTTCCTGCATAACAGCCAGGGCCCTTCTTTTCACTATGTTAGAGACAAGCTTTGTTAACAAAGTATGGTCTTCATTAACCATCACACTGGCCTTGTATGGATCTTTACTTTTTCTTTTTTCAGAAAAAGATGATTTATTAGAGCCTAAAGTTACACAGGACCCTTTACACTATCAGTGGTAGTCACCCTGTCATGACTACTACTCTGTGAATTTCATTGGCTTTTCATGGTTTCTCGTCATCATATTGCAGCTAGCCTCTTGCTTGCCTTAAAGACCTAAACTCACCAGGGTCTTGGTGCCTGCTGGCCACCTTTACCTCGTATTACCAGCCTGTTAAAGCCCAGTGGTCCTGGACCTTTAGTTTATTTAAACTGTTTTCTGTTGTGTAGTATTTAAAGTTATTACTACTATTTTTTTTAATTTTTGTTTCAGTTGTTTATCTTGAGTATCTGCCATCATTTGATAAAGCTAATCTGCTAGTGACGTACAACCACGAGACAGTTTTGCAATGTGCAATCATGTGCTACAGAAGTTTTTGTTTCACTTCCGCCTCAATGAAAATGTTTAATCATCTATAGAGAAGTTTATTTGCTCATTGTTTTAGTGTTGACATGTTTTTATTTCATTTGTCATTTCAACTCTCATTAAAAGACCAAACGCACAAAGAATCTCATCAACTAGTAATATCTTTCTGAAAAGTTGAAAGTGTGAGTGGCTTTTTCTTATTTCAAAGTCATACAAGCTGTAGTTAATCAGTAAATGAAGGTATGAATACAACAGTTTTAGTCTCAAAGACAACTTATCCAAATTACTGGAACATTTATTTATTTATTTATTTATTTATTTATTTATTTATTTATTTATTTATTTAGGTGTATTAACTCCAGTTTGTGTTTCCTGTTGACCTCAGGAACCCTCTGGTTCATGCCTTACACAGTGCCTCCCTGTGCCCATGTCACACAGCCAGCATTTTCTTCACACATATTTGGATGTGTTGCATCACATGGCAAATCTGTCGGAGCTCAAAAGTCAGGGGTGGGATGTGCTGCAAGAGAGCGAGAGGTTGTTAACAAGCAGCCCAGGAATTTTCATGGTGGCTAGATTAGGGTTGCAGATTAGAAAGTGGAAATTAAGTTGTGACAGCAAGATGCATGAATGTGTGGAATGTGCGGAATGTGCGGTGACGCCAGCCTCACACAAATCGACATGCATCGCTTACATTAGTATTCTCTTTGTTTTGCATAGAGTTGTTGTTGTGAGATGTCAGTAAGTACCCAGAAGAGCTGCATGGTGTGGTTAAACTGTACAGTTTTGTGTGTATCTGCCTGTTAACGAGCTGGCCTCAGACTAGAAAACTGCTTGTTAGTTTTGCACAAGGTGCTCGATTAAACTAGACATGAAATGCGTTTGGGGGAAATCTATCCTTACAGCATTTAGGTTGCCAACCTCTAAATCAGGGGTGGGAACTCCAGGCCTGGAGGGCCGGTGTCCCTGCAGGTTTTAGATGTGTCCTTGAACCAACACAGCTGATTTAAATGGCTAAATTAGCTCCTGCAGTTCTCCAGAGACCTGGAAACGAACTAATCATGTGATTCAGGTGTGTTGACCCAAGGTGAGATCTAAAACCTGCAGGACACCGGCCCTGAGGCCTGGAATTGCCCACCCCTGCTCTAAATACTACAATAAAATCTCCATATGGCTGTGACTCTGCCACTGTGCATGTCTGGAGAGCTTGACGTGCTGATGATCATGCATGACTCCAGACTGTGTGAACATCAACTTTTTATCCCACAGAGCTACTGAAATATTATCTAATTAACAAAGCTTAGTCAAAGGCAGCATAGGTATTTCCCTGCAGTATTTAAAGTATGCTGTTAAGTCATAAGCACAAGCCAGTTCTGTACTTTGCTATGTGCCGGGGAGAGGGGAAAAATGGCTTTGTGCCAAAGGGAAATGCAGATACAACTGTAAGATCTAGGATGATTGCTTTTTTCTTTCTCCTTGCAAATGGGGAACCAAAAGGAAAGTTAAGAGGATTATGTGCTGTCTGTTTGGAAAGTTTTCAGACTCTTTCAAGTTTTCCATATCTTGTGTGGACTCATCCTAAGATGTTTCCTTCTTGTTTTTTATGGTGTGTGTGTGTGGGGCGGGCGGGGGGGGTTATATAAATAGTTTTCCCATCAAAATTTTAATAAACACTGATTTATTCTGTCTCTTCAGCACTCTTAAGCCTCAGTTGTTCCTAGGTGTGCTGTGTAGGTTATTCCTTTCTCTAAGAGTTTTGAAGGATTGGAGTAAAACTGAAATAAGATTTGAAAGAGTCTGAATTTTCTGACAGCAGTGTATATTTGCAGAGCAGAATGGGATGTGATTTATGATGATGTGATTAAAATGTACTTAAACAAATAACTTTAACGTTGAATTTTTAGCACTGACTGATGGTTTAGTTTTTATTTATACTTTAAACTGCTCTTGCACATCAGCACATACTTTGTGTGTTGTTGGCATGAAGCCACTATCCAGCCACCACTAATTTGCTTAAAGGATTGCTGGAGTCTGCCACACTACCTGTACTGACTGCATGGGTTTGAGATTAATTTTTTAAGGCTATACACTAGTGTTGCAGTGTATAAGTGATGTGACAGTTCCTTGTTTCCCCCCCCCTCTTCAGGTTCCTCTTCAGCTCATTGAGTGTGTGGAGTGTAGAGAGATGACCCACCTTCATGTCACCTGTAAGGATTGTAAAGTCATCAGGTATGACCATTGAAGCTTCCTGTCTTTGTCTAGATGAGAAACTTTGAGTCATGTTACTTCCATATGTTTGTATTAATCACTGCAGTATCAAAAAAAGACATTAGGTGATTACAGTGTGAGCCTGCTTTGTATGACAAAATGACAGTAAACGGGTTTGAAATGTTCTCTTGAAAACTGAGGATAACATTTAAGATAAAGTTTGTACTATTAGTAAAGATTAATATTTATTTATTTTCGTATTTGAGTACTAGACTCCTGCATTTGGTACTTTTTAAAAGATCACATTTTAAATTTTATCCCCAGATGTCAGATCTCCACCTTTGAGCAGTGCCAGGAATGGTTGAAACGTCTGAACACAGCAGTGAGGCCTCCGTCTCGCTTGGAAGACCTCTTTGCCTTTGCCTTCCACGCCTGGTGCATGGAGGTGTACGCAGGAGAGAAAGAGCAGCATGGCGAACTATGCAGACCAGGTACTCTTTTAATTGCTCGCTTGTCTTCACAGAAACGTACCCAAACCTGTATTTTGCTTATCGGACATCTCTGCTGTCGCTGTAGGTGAACACGTGACCTCATGGTTCAAGAATGAGGTGGAGAGGATGGGCTTTGACACTCAAAATGCTTGGAGGATATCTGACATCAACAGCAAGTTCAGGTAGATGCGGCTTTCTTTCAGGATACTGCTTCGTGTTGATTTCAGAATTGCAGCTAGAAGATGGATCCCATCCTTTGCTTTCATTGGCAAACAACACAAGTCAGTATGTGTTAAACAGTGGGTGGTTGTGTTATTGTACTCCATGAGTGCTGAACCCTGGACAGATAAGGGGCTGGCCCAGGATTAGGTGTCTGCAGACAGAGACTTTTGTTGAGCCATCACAATCCTTTGGTGTTCCCTCTCCTTGTTTAACTTTGCTCTTTGTGCCCTTCTGCACTGCCAGGCTTTGCCCCAGCTATCCTCAGCAACTCCTAGTGCCAGCCTGGATTACTGACAAAGAGCTAGAAAATGTGGCAGCCTTCCGCTCCTGGAAGAGGTTTCCTGCTGTAGTTTACAGGTTTGTTTATTTCTTCCGCAGCTATTCAAAGCAGACACTTGGCCTGTTTATCATTAGAGAGGTAAAAAGCTTCCTTATGCAGCGGAAACGAAGCAATTGTTGGATAAAAACCTGAACGGTCCAAAACAAGGCCAAAAAACCCCCCAACCTCCGAATTAATTATTTTTGTTGTTTAGAGTGTGCTACCCGACCAAAAGCACTGACGTCACCAATTTTGGAAGTGCTTCAAGCATTTTTGGCTCTTTTTGTTGCACTGTTTGGGCAACTTAATGCTTGAGCCAATCAGAAGTGAAGACTTTGTATGCCTGTTTTGTGCATCACAGAACATAAAATAAATTTCAGTTTTTTACTATTTTAGTATATTAAATTGCATGAACTGGCATTTCCGAAGCTTTGTGCCTAAGAAAAACTAAAAGGTCTACCTCATACATGTGACACACTGAGTTGTGGTAATGAAGTCCTATTTTTAATATACTTGTGCGTTCTAAGTCTGGTGTTTTTTTGGAAATCTAAGAAAAGTTAAAAGTAGTATAAAATGCTGTGAAAGGGAATAAATTGTCGTCTTCTGTAGGATTTGTACTGGTATTACTATCATTAAATTGATTACTTCCATTAAATAAACTCTACCTTGGCCAGACATTACCAGTCTAACTTCTCCTCACTTGCCCTTCACACAGGCATACAACTACTGGGGCTGTAATTGCCCGCTGTGGCCAGCCAGAGGTCAGCTGGTGGGGCTGGAGGAACGCTGATGATGAGCACCTGGTTAAGTCCATTGCCAAGGCCTGTGCCGTGGACAGCAGCTCCCAAAAACATGTTCCCAACGGTAGCTACACCAATAGCTCAGACCTGCCTGACACTGATTTTGGTAAGAGCTCTCACTCAGACACTTTTATACTGCCCACTCAGAGTAGGATATGTTAATATTCTGCTTTATTTGGCAGCAGAGGTTGTCAGAGCTGAAATGTTTCCCCTTCTTTCTCAAAGTCTGTTCACCTGCTTGCTATTGTTTTGAAAGCAGAACCCATATGTTTGAAATTTGGGTCCCTGTGTTGCATCATACTAGAAACTACTGTTACATCATGTTAGCCCAGCATTCATTCATAATACTCCTCACTGCTGCAGTGTTATGCTGGCTCTCTTTAGTTCAGTGTAAACAAGCAAAGCTATCACAAGGAGCGGCCTTAGTGGTGCAGTGAGATCTGTGTAAAATGGCCTTCAGTCAGCCTCACTGACATGCCGTGTACGCCCACAGACAAATGCATGCTTCCAGCTGAACATACATCTACCACTGCACATTTTCTTGAAGTGTTGCCGTCTTTATGAATTTGCAGCAGACACTGTTGACTTGTCTGATTTGTTGGTGCTTGTCTGAAGCTGCAAACTACAGTAAACGTCTATTAAAGACATGTTTGATGTGCCTGAAAGAATCTCACTTATGCCCCCAGAAGGTGCTTTTTACAAGCTGAGCTGTAACTCTTTTGTTTTTGTGTGTGTGCCTGTCAGAATCCTCCATGACCAACAGCTCAGAGGTGGAGACACTGGCCAGCCAATCTCAGACGTTACTGATCTTAGATGCCAGGTCCTATGCAGCTGCTGTAGCTAACAGGGCCAAAGGTGGAGGCTGTGAATGCCCAGGTAAGTCCCGTCTGTTTGGTCCCAAGTCGCATACAGAATTGGGTCAGTGTGTGTCTTCGATTTAGCAGCTCAGTTTGGCTTAAAGACATCCATTTTTGCTTATAGTAAGTGTTACTTTCATCTTATTTCAGAATACTATCCCAACTCCGAGGTGTTTTTCATGGGAATGGCTAACATCCACTCCATTCGCAAGAGTTTCCAGTCTCTACGATTCCTCTGCACTCAGATGCCTGACCCAGCCAAGTATGTGTGTGTTTGTAAATATGCCTCCAGCAGTACACCCAGATTTCCCAAGTCAAGATTTTATGACACAACACTAACTATTAAAACTCAAAACCCCAACAACCTTTAGTAGTAGCTGGATGTAACTAGTAATCATAGCCGTTTTGACTTTGGCCTTACAGCTGCGCCTGATACTGAGAACTTGGCCCAAACCCCCTTTCCCTTTGCACTGCCATATTCAACACTGCAGTGATGTGTAGCTGAATTGTCAGCTTTAAGTGTTTGTGTGGAGTTTTGTTTTTTTTTTTCTTCTTATGGTTTGCAGATCAAGATGGAGATAAAACAGTCTGAAGCAGGGTGTTTATTAGGGGTGGTGGTGTGTGTGTGTGTCTATTGATCTAGAAAACACAGTTGCGGTTAGATTTATAATCTATGTAATGTGAAAGAATCATAATTTATGTGGGTCAGGGTGTATGTATGTGTCCTACTAGTCACATAACATGGTGTTGTTGGACTTCTTTCTTTCTAAGATGATATTCATTTCAGCACTTCAGCTTTAATAAACTGGGAACTATAGGCTTTTGCTGTCTGTTTGCAGCTGGCTTTCTGCACTTGAGGGCACAAAGTGGTTGCAACACCTGTCCCTGCTACTGAAGGCAGCTCTGCTGGTGGTCAACACTGTGAACAGAGACCACAGGCCTGTTCTTGTGCACTGCTCTGACGGCTGGGACCGCACACCACAGATTGTTGCTTTGTCCAAGCTACTGCTGGACCCTTACTACCGCACTATTGAGGTATGGATGGAGATGACAGTGTTGTTGTATGCAAATAAAATGTAAAAATGATAAAAGCATTCATTGGATTATCTCATGCAGGGCTTCCAAGTTTTGGTGGAGACAGAATGGCTGGACTTTGGTCACAAGTTTGCTGACCGATGTGGCCATGGAGAAAATTCAGAGGACCTGAATGAGCGCTGCCCTGTTTTCTTGCAGTGGCTGGACTGTGTTCACCAACTGCAGAGGCAGTTTCCATGCTCATTTGAGTTCAATGAAGCCTTCCTGGTATGTACATTCAATGTTTTTTAAAACAACAACAACAAAACAATCTTTAAAAATGCGCAATTTATCTACAGACATAATGGTGTCTCTGATTAAAGTATAGTTACATTCAGGTTCCAGATGTGAGAGATTGATATGCATTTACCTTCATGGTGTGCTAAAATGTAATATGAGGAACTTTTTATCCATGCTTTTGTTATACTTGATAATGTGTATACAAGTGTTTGTGTCACATTTGTGCAGGTGAAACTGGTGCAGCACACCTACTCCTGCCTCTTCGGCACTTTCCTGTGTAACAGCGGCAAGGACAGGGAGGATCGTCACGTTCAGGAGAGGACCTGCTCGGTCTGGTCACTCCTGAGGCCAGCCAACCGCTCTCTGAGGAACATGCTCTACTCCTCACACTCCGAAATTGTACGTCAACACTTTTAATCATTCAGTCCTGCTAAAAGAAAGCAAAGATACTCGTGTCTTTGTTGTCTTTTCTGACTTTAACATTTAATGTTTAAACTTAAAGACAACTGGGGCTGTACCAAGCTATTGGACAGAATTGATCGTCTCCCAGCTCAGAAAGCTGGATGGGCATGTCAGTGACATAATGTCACTATATTCAGTTGTGTAGTTACTACACTGCGTCAGCAGCAGTTTACTAGTTCAGAGGTATTACACAGCGAAGCCGACAGCTTTTGTCTTGGCATCTTTACATAAATGTAAAAGTTGCATAGACTTACTTGACCAAAGTGAAAAGCTCAGACAGCAATACTTTTACTGTGAGCTTCGCTGACTCTGTCTCACACTCATTATGCTGTCATTAACCTATCAGCTCTACTCAACACGTGGTGTTAGTGAGTGTAAGTAGGTGCACTAAGAGTGAGGACAAGGAATAGAGAAACTAGTGGCAGACGGCATTATGTAGAGGCCTGATTACGTGCTCTGATATGAGAAAAGTATAAATAAAGTGAATAACATAACTGTATTTCAGTTATATTTTAGTAAAGCAGTTCCTTAAAACCCTTATTACTGATCTAACCGCATCAGTAATTTTGATCCACTTTTTGCCCTTCCTGTCGTATGGAGTGCAGCTAGCAAGTGCTCCAGTGATGCTCTCTGTCTCAGACATACCTCAGCTTTTCTTGTTGTTGCGTACACTACAGAACAAAGACCTGTGGAATTACTATGGAGATGTAGTAAACTTTGGTGAAACTTGGGTGTCTGGATTGTTCATGAGTGGAAAGTCAGTCAGATCGATTCCTGCAGTTAAATGAAAGATTTCCTGAAGCTCATTCAAGGGTTTTCTGCTTTCAACAAAACTGACTAGAAGTGAACAGGATACAGTATAAAAGGAAGCTTGTGAAGAGATCGTCCTGTTTGTCAAATCTAACTATCTCAGAATCAAGATCTGTGCTTCTTGCCATTGCATACAGCATGTCTTCACATGCTGCTTTTTTTTTTTCTTTTTTTTAAGGAACCCAAGAGTGCTGTAAATTTTTGTACATAACAATTGGCAATAAATCTAAAATACTCTGAAATACCAGTGCTTTTGACACCCTTCTGAGAATTGCATTTTTGTGGTTACTACTTTTGCATTTGCTTTGTGTGGGTGGAGACGGGCAGACATAAATATTGTCCTCTTGGTATGAAAAGAAACTACATTCTTGGAACAAGTTTAGTTTAGATGTTCTTGACAAATCTTATAAAACTTTATTCATCCCAGATTTAAGCACTTCTTGTTCGTTCGTTCGTTCATTTATTCTATTTCACTCCCTTCTAAAGATTTGCATTCAGATAACTTTTGTCATCGTCATGTCTGATTATATCTTGAGTTAAGTTTGCAGCTCTTGTTGCAGGTTCTCCATCCAGTGTGTCATGTACGGAATTTGATGCTGTGGACGGCCGTCTATCTGCCCAGCTCCTCCCCTACCACTCCTTCCGATGATTCCTGCGCTCCCTACCCAGTGCCCGGTGCCAACCCGGAAGATGCACCCCTGGGCAGGTGAGCCTGGCGCGTTGGCACCCGACCCCTTCCCACTCTTCTCCCTATTGTGTAAGATAAAACGCAAGCCACAGACTACCCACAGCCAGAGGGGGCCGGCTTTTCCACTGCTGGTCACATGCTCTGCTTAGATGCAGTCTATGCTCTTATCTTGTGTCACGACAGTCAAAACATCTTGGAAGTGCAACAGGAAGTGGTCTTTAAGACTGTCATTAAAGCGCTTCAGGTGGTCGATAGGACTAGAAGTGCTATGAATGCCCGTTCATTTACATAGTTTGTGACAGCCAGCTCAGAATTAAAGAGATGGTCTGGATACTTTGCTGAAATGTCTGTTTTGATGAGACAGACATGAGAGCGATTTGTTAGGCAAACATTTTATAATTGTTTGCAGTTTCTCATTAAATTATAGGCTGTCAAGCATACTAGGCTATTATGTAATGAAATGCCGCTTGTTTGTAATTATTTTTCTCCTTTCCTGTTAAGGCGAACAAAGACGCGCTCCTTTGACAACTTGCCTAGTGCGTGTGAGCTGGGAAGCTCACTGGCTCCCAACCGTCGCTCCAGTGACCCAAGCCTGAATGAGAAGTGGCAGGACCACCGGCGGTCTCTGGAGCTCAATGTGGCAGTGGGGCCTGAAGGAGGGGAGAACCAGGATGAGGTGCAGCCATATCATGACAGACTGGACTCTGAGATGGATCACAGCAAGCAGCAATCCCAGGGCTCAAATACTGAACGTAGAGAAGAGTCTTCTGTGAACCCAGCAGAAGATAAAGCGGAGGAGGCAGAGCTCTCTGTGGCAGTGGGTGTGGCTGAGGGACAAATGGTGAACATCCTTCAGGAAGCCACAAAGGAGGAGGCAGGATGCGACGTGCCAAGAGAGGACCATGCTGATGCTGCTCAGATTTTTAATGCTGTAGACCAGGAGGTGGATGGACATGTAGAGCAGCATCAGATGGTGGATGTCAGTGAGACTGTCATGAAGAGAGACATGTTCGCTAATGGTCAGCTCCCAGAAAATGGTGAGATGAAGGCTCAGGAGAACGGTGACTCTTTTTCTGTGCCCACGCAGAAGGAAGAGGAAGAGGATCAACAGGAAGCCAATGCGTCTCAGAGAACTGAGGACTTGGTGACGGAGAATGTAGAGGAATCTTCTGTACAAGAAGAACTTGCGCATGTACCGAAGGAGTGTAGCACAAGTGAGCCAGAAGAGCCTGCAGCTCATAGAACTATAAATAGTGACTTAATGTATAGGTCACCTGAAAAACTAGGCTTAGATGAGAGAAGCTGCCCTGACTCTGAATCTGACCACAGTGTCCCTGAGTCAGTGGAGTTGGTAGATAAAAGGGCCTCCTTGATGGAAAGCTCCACAGAGACTTTAACTGAAGAGGTCTGTGGCAGGGTGGAGCTCCCTGTGCAGCCACCTGTTGGTTTAAACCATCACCTCATGAGTGATGGCAGGAGCCCAGTTCCCTCTTCCAAGAAAGAGAAGGGGCTGGAGACCAGTGAGCATGGCTTGATCAGAACTTTAAGCGAGGGCAGCAAGCGGCCCTCTGTCAGTGCCTTTCAGTCAGTTCGTGCTGACCTTAGCAGGGATGGACTTTGTAATGGGGACAACTCCGAAGGGGAGCCAAGTGGAGCACCTTACTGGGCCAAAGGGAATGTGGAGAGGGCCCCTTTGAGCCGTCAGGTATCCGTAGCAAGCTGCAACTCTCTGATCCTCCACCCACGAGGCAGCTGCTCTCAGCACCGGTGGTGTCACGCCTTGCTAGGCCGGGTCACCATGAGCCCTGAGCAGCCAACTCGCAGCCATCTGGATGACGATGGGCTGACGCTGCACAATGATGCTATCCAGCAAAGACTGAGGCAGATTGAAGCGGGGCACCAGATGGAGGTGGAGACTCTAAAGAAGCAAGTCCAGGAGCTCTGGAGCCGCCTGGAGAATCAACAGCACATTATCTCCCACCGGATCAACGGAGACATTGGAGATGAAGTGGTAAGCCACTGAAAGTTAACTGACCCTCTGATCTGTTTGCAACTTGTAAATGGAAGCGATCCACTTCAGACTGCCCTGCTTACCATTGCCAGTTAAAGTGAACCTTACTCTGATCATCTGTCTCCCTCCATTCAGACCTCAATGACGGACTCTGAGTACAACTTGGACCCAAACTGTTTGTCGCGCTGCAGCACAGAGCTCTTCTCTGAGGCCAGCTGGGAGCAGGTGGACAAGCAGGACACTGAGGTGAGCAGCTGCAGCCATATAAAGACCCTCGTCAGGGAGGGATGGCACAAGGCTCACAAAGCGGTCTTTTAGCAGCATTTATGCAATGCAGAAGAACCTGGATGAGCTGCTCGGTATATGGAAACTGAACTGATACTTTCCCCAAACATTGCAGGTCACCCGCTGGTACCCTGATCATTTGGCAGCCCAGTGTTATGGCTGTGAAAGCAGGTTCTGGCTTGCTACCAGGAAACATCACTGCAGGTGAGAACAGCTTTGTTTTTGCAGAATCTCAGGCCTTCACTATCAGTTGTCACAAATCAATTCTTTCTCTCCTGTTGAGGCCTTTGCTGTTTAGCTCACTCATCTTCGGGTCAGATGAGCTTCTTGTATGTAGGTTCAGCTGAGGCTGTTCATGCTTGGTACCTGAAGATGAACTTGAGAATCTTTGTCAACCCATTTGTGACGAGGTTTACTTCCTCTCTATGGACCAAAGCTTAAAATCAGTTTGCGTTGAAAGCCAAAATAAGAGTTTCTCACTTGATGCATTTTTCTCAAAGTATGCATGTCTGTGTCCCTGCACAGACATGCAGCCAGTCTTATTTCCAGCATCCACATAAAATGCAACAGGTACCACTTAAATGGGCACCATCATTAAATCCTCTAAATAAGGTAAAAACAGATGGCGTACTTGAATGCTTAAGAATACTGCAGTGCGGGTCTTTCAAAGGAACACCATGTGCCCCTGTTGACATGATTCCCAACTATTCTAAATGCAGCCAATTAAGTGACCCAGATTTGCCTTTTTGATCCAAGTGTTACTCTCTAATGAATGAAATCTTTAGAAAGTCTTTAAGCATGCCCTTTGTGCAAATGTACGAAGTCTGTTGTACTGTGTGGAAGTAGCCTTCCAAAGAAAGTGTCCTGCATGCTCTCTACACCTGCTGTGGATGAACAGTCAGGATAGTTGCACGATTTAAGGCTTTTGGTCCCAGTATCATGTCTTTCATTCAGGAGAGGAAAGTTATTTTTAAAATTTGAGGACCTAATTTGCATTTCATTTGCCAATGGAATGAGGCGCCACTCTCTCTGGTTGTCTGTACTATGTCAATCTATAAACAAGAGCCAGGGAGCCAAGTAAACTGTTGATTGGTTGTTTAATTTATTGTAGATGCCCTTTGTTTTGCACCGATGTGTCCACACAAAACTGTGAGGTCAGGTTGATAATCATGTGGTGAATTAGCTCGCGGACACTTCCTCCTGGTGTCATCACTTCCTTTTATACTGCTGACTGCTCTGTATTTCCCTTTTTGTCAGTGGATCACATAAGTCACTCAGAACTTTGAGGTTGAATCTTTTAGGATGTTTAGTTGCAAATGTAATTTGTGTGAATCCTGTGAATGCAACTTAAACACAACACATCTCCATCAGGACTTTTTTTTTTTTTAAGTGTTATGTTTTCTCTGCTGTTCAGCAGTACTTATCCATTTTCTGCCCCTCTCCTCCTCTACAGTGGCAGGGAGCCTGTTCAGGAGGTCTGGTGAGATCCGGCTCCCCTGTCCCACCCACCCTCCAGCCTTTTCAACCCAGCATCCTTCAGTTTCCTCCTCATCCTAACCCAATCCCACCTCACCCTTTCCCTTACTCACCTGCTGCATTTGAATCCCCTCATTCTGTTTTGGCAATCAGCAAGTTCTCAGGGAAACCTCTTCATTTCTGAGATGGGTTGATTTGTGTGTGTCCTCCAGCAGTAGCAGTGTGTTTTCATACAGCAGTTTTGAATTGGCTGTGACAGTGAGCATGGTGCTGTCACTCGGTCAGAGGCTGCCCGTTTCATTGGAAAATTTGTAAATTTTTACTAAATCAGCCTCGACCATCCTAGTATAGCATCACATCAGCACCCTGCCCCCGACTCACCCACAACATTAGGGTTGTAACGATTCTCCAAATCCACCGTGGCACGTCTGGAGACCATGGACGTTTGTTACTGCAGATTCTGTCTCTGAACCGTTACACCCCTACACGGCACACACCCTGGCAGCATGCTGCCCCTAACCAACCCTGCATCCCACTTCCCAGCAGCACAGCATGGTGTAAGACACCTCTCAGGCCACTTGGTGGTGCAAAAGGGTAAAGAGTTGGAAGAAAAACAGAATCGAATTCACTTTCTGCTCTGTGTGGTTACAAGCAATTGAAAGGGAGCGCTGTGTGTGTGAGCATGGCCTTACATCAGAATTAGAGCATGGGTGTTTGAAATCTTCAGTGTGACCTGTCTGTCAAGTGATCACAGCAGTGTTTTGAGTTGAATAATCAACATGTTCTGTTTGGAGCACCTCTGCTAAGCGGCATGTAGTAAACATCACAGCAGAGCTGCACTGTAAACTGGATGGGTGGAGTCTGCCCACAACTCTCAAATCATGTTTAAAATAAAAGTTTATCATGCGTCACACATGGTTGAATCATAGATCAACGTCACTTCACCAGGTGTGGGGTTTAGTTTTCTTTTTTTTTTTAAAATAAGTAGCACCTAAGTCCTGTTTTAAATCAGTGTTCAATATTTCCCTGTGTGGACCTCCTAGATAAGTGAATGTTTGTAGTTTAATATAAACTTGATCCAGATAAGCTAGCCCACACGCCAACTTGATATTTTTTTCTTAATTTATTTCTTCCCCTGAAAGCTTTTTTTTTTTTTTTTTTTTTTTTTTTTTTTTTTTCCCCCCTCTTTAAACAAAAAAAAAAAACAACTCCTCACATCAGTCCAGTTTAAGTAAACTGTTTTAAGTGGGGTGTTATTTTCTAAGAATCTACCACAGGGACGCATGGTAACTTGAGGTGTAAAGAATGTGAGAGTCCCCCAAATAACATCTCCGTGTTCCTTGGCAGGAACTGCGGTAACGTGTTCTGTGCCAGCTGTTGCGACCAGAGGATCCCAGTGCCAAGCCAGCAGCTGTTTGAGCCCAGTCGCGTCTGTAAGACCTGCTACAGCAATCTCCAGCATGGCTCAGCTACCCTGGACCTGGAGCTGGAGAAGCCCATTACAGCCAGCTCCAACTGAGGACCAGGACAGACGGGAGTCGGGCTGAGCTGCAAGTCGCTGATGCAGAAGCACTGCTGAAGAGCACAGGAGCTAAAGAATGTCCCACCAACTTTGTGAGTGCTGCTGCACTTTGGAGTGTGAGTGTATGTGTGAAAGAGAAGCTGAGTGGCATGTTGGTGAGATGGGACTGCGCACAAAGAAATGAAACTGGACATCCTGGTGCCTTGGACCAGGCAGGCAGAGGAGGTTGTCTCACTGTATTTGCTGAAGTCTCCTGGAGGACTTTGGTCTGTGAAAGATTCTCCTGAAGATCCTGAAAAAAAATCATAAAGGTTTCTCATCTCCTAGCCTGGAGCATGGACTCATCTCTGCAGGGTGTTCTGACATCCTGGCAATCACGAGACTGTCTCTCAGCATTGGAAATATCCACATAGCAAGCCAATGTCTCAGTGAAAGATTAAAGGAACAATTCATCCAGATCACCAGAGGAGATGGTAGTCATATTCCCTCACTTCCTATGGTACCAACAATCCAGCAAAATGTATTATGATTTGACCTTATCTGAGATTTCTGCTGCCAATTAGTCTGCAGGTCATGTTATCAGTTCAGCATATTTTTGTGTAAATTGTTAATGCTGTAAGGTTGGGCTGTTTTTACCAGAAAACTTGGTTACATATTCAAACAGTCCAAAATGAAACCTAAACACTTTTATATCTGAATACATGTAACAAGCAAATTTGAGAAGCCTGATCCAGTGTGAGATTCAAACTATGAACTTTGCAATGCTACACTTGCAGGTATGATTTCCACATTAAAATAAGACTGATCTGACTGAGAGGCACATACCCATTGAACTTGTTACACTTTAGAATTGTCCTAAAAGTGCAGGAAACTAGTTTTTTAAAATTACTACTAATACTTCCGGCTATGTAGCTCAGAATCTCGTTTAAAAATGCTGCTTTCTAATGGTAATGACTTGATAACATGACCGCAGACTGAGTTAGTTAGTAATAAACTACATGGAGTCCTCTTTAGAAAAACTGACTTCATGCTTTTCAGACATTGGTTGATCATCAGCTAACGTGACTGAAGTGATAGCATCCTATTTAAAGATGGGTCACTTAAATGTTGATGTTCCCCACTGCTCAAGAACCTCTATAAGCAGGTGATATTTACCATACATGCATTTGTATTGTCACCATCAACTAGTAATAGCACACTTGGGAATATTTGGTCCTCTCTACCATTGTGTGCAAGAGCTCAGTACATTTGAAAACCCCATTCCTCCCTCTCCTGGACTGGGAATGCTGAAGTGCATCATATTCCAAATTAAACCAGAGTGCCTAAGAAGCTTGTTTAGGCTCCATATATTCAGACTTGTTGAGAGTGAGGCAAATTTTGCCATTTTGACTTGGTAAGAGTGCTGTGAGGATGCTTGCATACAGTCACATGTTCAGTCTAGAGGAGAGCTTGTCTGAAAAGTGTGTAAAACAGACAGACAGTATCTCTTAAAGAAACTGGCCGCAGCCTTTGTTTGCAGTGTCATTACTCTGGATAACTGGGTGAATTGAGCCTTTAACTTTCTGTGGGCCGAGTCTCAACTGTGCTTGCTTTGTTTGGGTGAGCTTTTAAGCAGCTTTTCAGAAGAGAGACGCACAAATGGGGTGGCAAACAAGTGATGTACAAATCAAAAAGCCCTTGATGCTTTGTGAACATCACATTTAGTTATGGTTGAGATTCAGTCCAGAGTACAGAAGGGAGGCTGGAGTTTGTGAATTTGTAAAATTCTGTGCTGTTCACATATTTAAATGCACTTTTTTTTTTTTTTTTTTTTTTTTTTTCCCCCCTTTCTAATTGCTTTTTTATTTTTTCAGTAGTTTAGCATCCTTATCCTGACCACAGTGAGGATGGTGAATCATTTTGTGTTTGAAGCCCCCGTGTAGACAAGTCATACAGCAAGTTAGTGAGAGGAAAAGCCTTGTGGCTATTTGATCTTTTAACAGCTCGTGCTGCGCTGCTCCTCCATACCAACAGACTGTTTATTACTCGTGTGCAGGGAGCACTCACTGTGAGACTCTGCTGATTTCAGGCTTTGGATTTTTTTTTTTTTTTTTTTTGTTTCAAAGCATTAACATCACACAGGTTTGGCCGATAGACCTGCATCAATACCGACATTTTTTCAGTTTGTCTGCCGTGGACAAACTGAAGCACACGACGGTGCGGCCAACTGCTGCCAAAAGATCCAGTTTTGTTTTACCCAGCAGGCACTGGGACGGAACAACCTGTTTTGTTTTTTGGGTTTTTTTTTTTTTTCTCCCCTCAGTCCTCTGGTACTAATCAGACGGGTGTAAAGCTCACAACAAGACATCTTTTTATCTATGTATATATATTTTTTTTTTTCTTTCAGGTGGCTGCCAGCCACTATGAAACAAATTCCACTTTGTCTAAATCACAGAGGAGCACAGCAGCAGTAGAAAGGGCTTTCTGCATTTTCCCAGGTCTGTAACGCCACATGAAATCTGTCAAAGCATCGCTGAGACGCCTGCTCAGCCTCACACCCATTTACAAACTACTTGTGCACACACAGACACAACTTTTGTACAGTAAATGAGAGGAATAATATATTCAGATACCTACATAGCATTTAAGAAAAATGTATAGAATCTTTGAATAGTGGCACTTAATTAGTCACCAAAGTTTTTTTTCTTTTTGAAATTGCATAAAATACCTATATTTTGCAATCTGTTTAAGGCAGTTTTTGTTTTGTTTTTTTTGAATAAATGGAGAAGCAGGGTGACCTGATTTGATGCTGTAATGGTTCTCTCCTCCCCCTACTTGGATTTTATTTATTGATATTTGTATTGTTGACTTGCTGTTAAAACTCCAGTTAACTCAGTTTTTGCCACACGATAATCAGAAATGGAGACTGAGCGGTGGTTCTGAACTTTGGCTACAGCATCCCGTCAGAATATTTTGTGTTGGCCAATCACAGCATGTGTGGATGTAAAGATTTCAGCATTATGAGGGGGTGAGCAGTCAAAGGTAGCCAACAAGATGTCTATGCACTGAGTGAACAGTGGTCCAAAACAAGCAGCCTGAACCCAAAATGAAGCCCTGCCCCCTTTAAAGCTCTCATACACTTATACCATTCACACCCATCTACAAACACTACCTCTACTTGCATCCACACTTGTTCATGTAGACACACATACATTCACATACTGAGCTTCTAGTTGCTGAGTGACTCTTGCTTTTCAGATTTCCAGCGCGAATGGGTTGTTGTTGTGTTGCAAATCTTTTTGTAAACCCCTCCTCTGATTACTGTTCAGCTGGAACATTTAAAGGTACAGCACAGAAGCGTAGACTAGGTTGATAATCTTTGTTCAGACTGCCGATCTCTATTCCCCATGATCCAGCTCGCTGTGTCAGATGGCTGCTGTAGATATAAACGCAGCAAGTTTTGGACTAAGGGAGGAAACACAGACATTTAACTGTGATTGACAACCTGATGCTACTTAATTATCCTAAAGCTGTTTGACTGAGCCCATTCCTGTCACTTCCTGTTGGATTTGTGCATGATGCTGACTTGAGATTGTTGCCATCTGGTGGTGGAGCTGCTGTTTTAGGTGGTCAAAACAACCGGCTTCAAGTGTGTGCTTTTTAATGTCGACCTCCTGTGGAAGTGTGTTTAATTCGACAGTCTGACCTTTAGTCTTTCAAAGAGAACTGAAATATATTATTTTGGCCCTCTCGCGAAAGATGAGTCAATTCCACAAACTACATCCGATGGCAACAAAATGGAGCAATTGTGTCCAAATAGACAATTTATTCTAAGACTCCACACTCCCTTGTGAAGCCAAAGCTTTTTGACCTCCCCCACATTGACGACCAGCAGCGTGAGTTCCCTTTTTCGAGTTTCACCACCGTCACAGGGACGTCTTGTTAAACAATCCGTGAATGTGAATGGTCTCACGGGAGAGGAAAGGCTGTTTATTTGCACATGACATTAAGTAAACACTGCCACAGGGTGCATCTGAGTAAAGTGAGACTGAAAGTGTGCTTTTCAGTATTGCAACAGCATGATGGAGTTATGGACAGATCTGTGTGTGTGTGGGAGGGGCTGGTAATGTGGGCTTCAGTTAACGTTGCTGCGTCCCCACCCCCAGTATCCATATGTTGGGGTTTTGTTTTTTCCACTCACGCTGACTTGCTTTTAGAGGCATCACTGCAATGGCCCAGTAGTCACATGAGGTGTGAGTGTATAAATGCATCAAGCATTTCAAGCATTAGTGTGACTGAGTGTCTCTTTGGTGGAGCCTGGTGCCAAGCAGTTTTTATTACGGGTCTCTCACAAAGGGATCACTCGTGCTTTTTTTTTCTTTTTTTTTCTTCTTTCTCTCTCACCCCCTCTGTTAAGCACTTTGAACCTTCTCATGTCTGTCGAGTGTATGGCTGTACATAGCAAATTCCTGTAACAACAAGTGCTCCTTGTTCAGTCTGAATATTTTGTTCTGTTTTGGATTTCCTTTTAAAGAGAATTACATTGTTGTAGAATTAAAGAAATAAACTAGAAGATGAATCTCTGACTGTTTGCTTGCTAGATGATACCTGCTTTCACTGACACACGTTGCTGTGGTGGAGAATCTGCAACTGAGAGCGCACAAAGAAGAAAACAGACACTAGAATCATGTTTAATGCGTGTACTGGTATACAGCTCTAAAAATCAAGAAAATCTTAAGTTACACTGTCTAACATCAATTTCTACTTATAGAATGCAAATCCAAGTGAGTACATGACAGAAAAGAACAACCAAGAGAATCGATCAAAAAGCGACAGTGCTGCTCTAAGTTAGTCATGCTCACTGATGTGATGAGTGGGGGTGGTCTTGCTGCCTCTAAAGAAACGATACTAGCAAGTGACGACCCCTGACGGTTACTGGACTTCATATCACTGCACAGAAACGGGACATCTGTACCATAATCGGCAGCAGCGGACTAAGAGCAAGCTGAGGCGCTTCGAGCCAGCCTGACAGCACGGCGTCCGGCATCAGAGGCAGAGCTGCGTGTTTCTTTCTTAGGTTTGCTAAAAACAACACGAGGAACACTTGGAGCGAAACACTGCTTAATAATTGTTTTACAAAGTATGGCCGGACAACGACGGTCGAAGCAATCGTATGCAGTTATATATCAAAGGCTATTCAGGCAAGAAGACCACACGGTTGATCTGGTCGCGTAACAAAAATGAGCTTTTAAACTCCTGATCAAATCCAGTCTTGTGTGCAAAGTCTTGCCTCCTCAGATCTCCCTTCCGTTAGTGAGCTATGAAAGTAATTAAATGTCAGTTTAATTCTCTTAACGGAGAAAAAAAACCTGTGATATTTCAGATTCTTATGTAAGGTTGATATTGTACGTCCTAGCCAGCGACAGCGTTAATCTCCCTGCAACATCTTTAGAAACTCATTTTTTAAAAAAAATAGACATGGCTTTACCAGCCGACTCTTCCCTTTTATCTATAAAAACTCCGACAGCAATATTTACAACTTTGAGGAGATAGAAAGTAGCTTCTGTAGATCAGCATAGGTTCCCTGCCACCAAATCTACTGTGGGACAACTCCCATCAAAGCACGTGTCAAGAGGATTGTCACAGGAGACGTCTCCCGTTGCAGGTTTTTGTGAGGTTGAACGAGGAACTGACGCTGCACTATGTACAGGCAATGGTGCTGTGTGTGTGCGTGTGCGTGTGTGTGTGTGTGTGCGCGCGCTTGCACTCGGGGTGGAATAAGGGCTTTTGCAGTTGGTTCTCTACAACCTCCAGTCAGGAGCAGCAAGTGGACTCACACTGACGACTGATCCCACACCTGCAAACACAGATTAAGAGCAAAGGTCAAAGCGTGTTACTGTGGCTTAAACATCATGAATAGTTTGGTGTCGTCTGTAGTTACTGAAGAGCTGCAGCATCAGTTGTGAAACTAAAGCTGAGTGGCCTTACTGGATATGTATTTAAATGAATGGTACAAACATGATTTACTGAAGTTTGCAGCAAACTGCTAAATTTAACAACAAAGCTTGTCTTATTTTGCACCTGATCGCTGCTGCTAGTAATATTTGGAACAGCAGGAGGGAAGCAGGGAATCCCAGTACAAGGTGCATATTATAGGGTTTTTCCTCAGCAGTGTGCACACACTTTGAAGGTGTTTTGTTTTCCCTGTTTGTTTGATTTTGACGACTATTATCAGATTTGTTACACACTATATAAAAATGTCTCAAGAAGCCGCTCATGTCTGCATATTACAATACTTAATATTATCTATCCTCAAACAGGGCAGCTGAGCCTCATTAACCTTAAAAAATGAGAAAGTCTAATTTATTTTTTCGAATTCATTTTTAAAAAATTAGTTCTTTACCTGCTCTCACACCACTGGGGTTGCAGATGAATTTGTCTTACACAGCCTGGAGTATTTTAATAAAATCTGCAACTCTAATCAGAGGTGATCCTTTTCCTGATGCTGGACAGTGACGCAGCTTTTAAATTCACGTGGCTTTCTCCCAGTCTTACTGAACCCAGCGCTTAAAGCACAAACACATTCATGTAGTATTTCTCTGCATCCCCACACATCAGCTGTTT